TGTGTGTGTGTGTGTGTGGCCAGCTCAGCCCACCAGGGGGCGGGGCTGGCTGGCATGTGGTGCTGGGGGATCGAACCGCGGTCCCTGTGCATTGCCAAGCTTGTTTCAAGTAGGTGCTTTAGACCACTGAGCCATCTCTCCAGCCCCAGTCCTGGCTTTTAGCTGACTTTGAGCTACACCAGTAACACTGCCTGCATTCCCATGGCAGCACGTAAGTCTGACCAAGTTAAAGATACCTTCAGCCATACCACCCCTATTCTAGGTCTTGTTTTCTTCTCCAGCACCTAGGCAGTTAAAGTTTGACTGGGGCCTCTATGCCCACTTTTCTGCTTTGCACTGGTGTATAATTAGAAATGTACCCCCCCCCAAAAAAAAAAAAAAAACCAAAAAACCATACCTAGCCAGGAGGCAGTACATTTCTGTAATGCCGGCACTTGGGAAGCTGAACACCTATCTCAAAGGACCCAACCACCTGACCATTCCTCTTTCTTTCCTCTCTAGAAGGACAGGCAGAGGCAAGCACCACGAACAAGGAAGCCAGCAACCAGCCTGAGAGCAGCAGTGGGGCCACCTCCTCTTGAGTCTGCCTTTGTCCTGGAGGCCGGAAGAGAGACCTGCTGCCCCCTCCCAAAATGGGAACCTGGGCACAAGCCCAGCAGCCTCCTTTCTGAGCCCATGTCGCAAGCCAGAGTGAGAGGCCTCTGTGGCCTCTAACCTGGGAAGCCCTCTGCCCACACCCACAGGCTCCACGTTCCCACTGCCTTCTCTCCGCGCCCAAGACACTGTAAGCACGGGATAGTATTTATTCAGCTGGCACAGGGCTCGGGCTAGGGCCTGCCTACCAGGTGAACAGCCCACAAGGGGACACCACTCTGCAGGCCACCTGCACAGGGACTATGTCCCAGCACCGACCCTCCTTTCCATCCCCAGCCTTCCAGGTCAAGACCTTATGACCCCTTTTTTTAAAAAACACTTTTAAACTTTTTAAAAACTTTAAACCTTTTTTTCAGCATACAGGGTGGGAACTGATAATTCACTTTTGGGTTTTTTGTTTTGTTTTGTTTTTTAGGAAAGCCATTTTAAGCTCAACTCTGACCATCTATGCAGCTCTGAGGTTCCCTCATGGAGCTTCACAGACCCATTTGTAGGGAAGGAATTTGGGCCCAAAACTAGCAGTGACCCTTTGCCCTTTCTACCAAAATAAGTGACTTAGCCCCTAGGAAATAAATGCTGGTGATTTGTGTGACTGGTTTAAGATGATTTCTCTTTTAAATAGTGAAAGCAGGGGTTGAATATTGCTTCCCCAGTCCACAGGCAGCGGGGCTCCGTGACTCTGGCTTTCATGAACTGCTAAGAATAGGCTGGGACCCCGAGGCTGCTGCTGCTTCTGGCCTCTTATGAGCCCTCTTCCCACCTCACTGTCTCTCACCCATCCTGCTCTTTGGAGAACCTACAAGGAAGATTTTTGCCTAAAGACCCAGAATAGAGGAGCCAGGAGTACAGGGGGCATCTAAGAGGATGGCCCCTCTGGAGAAACCCCATTTCTCCCGGAGAAGGCCCTGCATTCTCAGCCCCTGCTGGGAGGCTGCAGCTCTCCATTCCCAGTGTACACTGGGCTCTTGGCCCCTACTGTTGAACAGGTATGAGGGCCCTAGTCTCCTGCCACTCTCGCCTCACGCAGAGCAACCGGCTGAGACCCAAGTACTACACACCACAGGCTCTACAGTGCCAGTTGTTGGCTGCTTTATTGAACACCAGATTCTCAGCACGAGTCATCTGAGGAGGGTTTCACATTCCTGGTCACCTTTAGGGAACACTGTGGTTCCTGGGCAGGGTATACAATCAGAGGTGAGATGGGGCCATTCCCAAGTTTGTGCACCTGATACACATCAAGTAGTGACTACTGACATCTTAGTCTTGAGGAAGGAATGTAGGTAAAGTGTCACTTGATTCCACAGAGTTGTGCAGGCTCCACTTGTGGGGTGAAGGCTCAGAGGTGGCCATGCCATCTTCAGGGGTTCTGCCCTGCTGGTCAGGTCAGAGAAGCAGAAAGATGAGGCAACTCACAGTACTGGCACCCTACTTCCCCTCACCAGGACATTGTAAGAATCACAATTCCAGCACCAGAAAGGAGCTCATACAGACAGCGAATCCAAGGTTTAGCATAAGGCATATCTTGCTAAGGCCACATGGGAAGGAGGAGCAGAAAAGGCCACGACATGGTTCAACACCCTGCCCTTGGCTTTGGACAGCCATGGGGATGCCCAGAGGGCTGAGACGGGCCATCAGAGAGTCTTGCCTTCAGCCAGTCTCTCCCAAAAGCAAAAGCAACTACACACAAAATACACTGAGATGATGAGGGTCTGCCACAACCAGACCCAGGAACCAAACGGTCATTGCATGTCCTTGTTGCTGCCCAGGAAAAAGGGCTCTTGCTAGAAGTCACGGGAAGCCCCAGGCGACAGGGGGGGGAGACCACCGGAGCCCAGACAGAAACATACCAGCAGTGGATGATGGCAGCGGCATCTTGTAGGCTTTGTAGAGCTGGTTAAGGAGCTCTTCCTTCTCATTTTCTGGGAGGAAGCTGGACTTGGCAGCATTGATGTTCTAGAAGGGCCAGGGTAGCAGACATGGACCGAGACCACAAGGACCGGAGCCCTTGGTGTCTAGCAATAGGTCATCCTCTTTACAGGGCACAGACAGTAAAGCTCAGGCTTTGTGAGAGGTGGGATCTGGGGGTAGAGACCTCTGCAGGAGCACAACTCAAGATGGAACACTCAGCCTGGGACCTAGGAATGGCCTGAAGGGTGTAGATTTTCACAGCTGGGCACAGCTTTCCGGGGGGAGGGGTCCTTTGAACACATGAGAAGCAAAAGCTAAACCATTGACCCTCAGTCAGGACATCAGCACCAAGGTGTCCTCTGGAAGGTGTCTGATGCCGGCTTGGCAAGGCTTGGGCTATCAGGACTCTAGGTCTCCTGGGCTCTAGGTACTGGACATGGTGTGTAAGCCTTGTACTCCTGTGGCCAGGAATCAGGGCAATACCGCACCACTCACCAGTCGTTTAAATTCCTCCTCAGTGAAGCCCATGTCCTGTTTGACCATCTGGTAGTCAGTGTCCAGGGTAGACTTGAAGATAAGCGGGTCATCTGAGTTGATCGAATAGTTAACCTTGTCGTTCTTGAACCTGGTGGGGTCGGGAGAGTGAAGAGCCCACTCTACTCCTCCGTGACCATCACTGTCCACTGACCCTACCCACTTTGATCCTCACAACCCACCAGGCTTTGTCCAAAATCATCTAACCAGCCACATAGGACTCAAGTCCAGTCCACCAGCTCAGAGCCAAGTGAGAATGGATGAGGGGCCCAAGGAGAGAGCCATGGAGAACAAGGGCTCCATGCAGCTGGGAATGCAACTCGCCTGAGCCCTGTTCCTCTCTGGCCTTCCCCCTCACAGCCCCACTCCCCACCCTGACCTCCCTCCATCCCTCTTCAAGCTTTTCCCCCACACTATGAAGCCCTTCTTTTTGGCATGGTCCCTGGTGGATGACCACCTTATTTGTAGAATTTGACACTGGTAAGCTTTTTCCCTTGATTTCTCTGACACCACACCTTGGCTTTCCATGTATGTGTGTCTTCCTCCTGACCTTAAAGGCCACTGTCATTTTGGGTTCTGTCCTAGGCCCTGATGCTCCACTATCTTCTGGACTTTCCCTTCTTCGCTTGAAACTTTCTGCAGCCCATGGGGCATGCACCCATGTCCCTCCTAGAGTCTGCACTGGGGTTGCCCCCAGCACCCCACAGTCCATGCTCCTAAGGGCAGCCTGAGGACCCTGCCTTTACATAAGCTTGCCCCAAGTCCTTGCTTCCTTACTGTGCTTCATGGAAATATACCTCTGCCCTCCCAAGGCTGATGCCTTGCTCCAGGGCATGAGCACAGGTCAGAAGCCCTGTCTCGGACCTGATCAGGCTGGTGGGGTGGGAGCAGGTGTGGGAGAGACCCTTGGGCACTTGGAGGGGAGAACACACAGGCACGCAAGAGATTCATCTTTTCAGAGGCCCAGGAAGTAGCTGGGAAAATTGGAAGTGTGGACATTTCCCTCGGGACGGTGGGGCATTCTGCTGTGCTGGATGAGCTATAGGGCCTGAGATCTGCAGATGCTGCATGTTGGCGAAGTTACATCTGATTTTGGTCTCCTTTGTGGGATAAGGGAAGTAATGCCTGCTGCCCAGGCAGATTTTGTAACTGACACCCCCCGCCTCCGGGCCGGTGCCTCGTTCCCATATTCCCTTCTCATACTTGGCTTCCTCAGAACAGAACTGACTGGGCCCCAGGGGGGCCAGAACTCACCGAACGACTGGGTGCTCCCCTGTTTCTGCTTTCCAGGCACCTGTGAGGTAGCTGGACCAGGGACACACCTGCAAGAGCGGGTGTGGCTGGCAAGGCCTCCCCTCCCCACACCCTGTGGTGGCCAGGCCACGTGCTGCAATGCCATTCTTGCCAGGGCTGCACAGGCCTCCATACCTAGCACCTGAACACCCACTGGCCACTCCATCGGGGCTGGCCTGCTCCTGCTCTGGGGACCTGCGGGGGGCGGGGGGCACAGCCCAGGATGGTTTTTCCAAGCCCCCGTCCCTAACCTCAAAGTGCATGTTTTCCTTCCGCAACCTGTCGTAAAGGGCCGCATCCTGCAGGGTGTGGTAGCCGTGTCCCACCCTCTCCGTCTTCAGTACGTCCACAGCCTATGGAGAGGCAGAGGGGACCAGTGTGGGAGGCAGGGTCCAAGGAGGCAGGGCACAGAGGCTCTCGGCAGCTGCTCACCTCTTGCACGACCTGTGCAATGTTTGCCTCCCCAGCATGGACAGTGCGGTGAATGCCGCTCTTCAGCGCCTCCTGAAGGGGAAGAGACAGTCAGGGTGGCCCAGGAGAGAGGGCGGGCAAGCTCTGCGTTTGCCACATTGGGAGTCTGGGCTTTGGTAGCTTGGGCTGTCCCTGTGCCAGGCCAGGCGGCTTTAACAGCATGGGACAGTGTGGCCTTGCTTTGGCCGGGTCAGGACCTAAGTGGTAGCTGTCCCTTCTTACACAGTGGGTACACGTCAGGCTCTGAGGCGGCTTGCATACATTATCCAGCAAAGTATTATAACATTTTACAGCACAGGAAGCTGAAGCTCAGGAAAGGTAAGTAACAGGAGAACACCAAACAGAAAGTGTGGAACCTTGGACACAGGCCCAGAGAAGGGGTAGTCTCACCTAAAGACATGCAGCAAAGCATAGGCAGATGCAGCCTCAAACAGGATTCCCAACACCACACACGACACCATGTGAACATCTGTCTACCTTCCTTCCTCTTTTTTTTTTTTTTTTTTTTGAGACAGGTTGACTTGAACTCATTTTTTTTGAACCCATCATTTTCTTTAGCCTTCCAAGTGCTAGGACTATGGATCTGTACCACTGTACCTCAAGTTCAGGGGCTTCTCCTTATACCCAGTTCTGAGCCCCCACACCCAGCCAGATGCTCAGGAACTCGGGGGGGGGGCAGTGTTCCCCATCTGGGTTAGTTCTCCCCAAGCTCCCCAATGGCCAGTCCCACTTCCCACGGGCCCACCTTGTAGGCCTCCACGTGCCCTGGGAAGTAGCTGCTGTCTTTGATGGTCTCATCACCAGCCAGGTCGATGGCCACCACAGTCTGATGCCGGTACTTCTTACACAGCTCCACCACCTCAAGGGACCATTCTGTAGCAAATGAACCCTGCCACGGCTCAGTCAGTAGCACCAGGCACAGGGCCTCCCAATCCACCTAATCAATGTCACACATTCCCCCAATGCAAAACAGTCCAGTGTCTGGTCTTTAGACTCTGACTGCCAAGTCCTGGCCACATGGCCTTTGGCCAGTTGCTCTGCCTACTGCCTTAGACCCCTCCCTACCACCAAGGATGCCACCTCTGTGGTAGCGCAGGGTCTAGACAAGGGCTTGCGAAGGCTATGTATGTGTGGCATAAAGGTCAGAGCCTGGCCCAGTCAGTGACACATGGGCTGTTTCTTCACTTGATTGCCTACAGCAGTCCCCGGGTGGCTTCCCTCACTTAGAAGACATGGATGGAATGTAAGTAAAACTCAGGCTGGGGTTACAAAAGATATTACAGATTATATACTATTTTTTAAGAATAATTTAGTACAGGGTCTTACTACACAGAGTGGACTCATTATGATCCTCCTGTTTTTCAGCCTACCAAGTGCTGGGATTGCAGGCACGTGCCACCACGCCCAGTCCCAATCACCATCTCAACGTGCCCCGGGGGTGGGACCAGCATGGTACACCAGGGATCATCTGCCTAAACAGGCTCTTTAATATGCTGAGCTATCTGGCCAGTTCAGATTACATACTCTTAACCAATACAGTTTTTATGGCCCATTTCACTGAATGAGCACAGGGTCTAGGACCAGATGGCCCCAGATTCAAACCAAGGCTTTGTGTTTCTCTGACAGGAGCAAGAGGCTTTACATTTTCTTACTCAGTTTCCCCAGCTGTTAAATGTGATTAAACAGTGGCAGTCCCACCTCCCAGGCTACAGCAAGGATTAGGGAAAATCATACAAGTTACTGCCCAAATGAGTATGTAGGTTGGCATCAGCTTCTGGCTTTCATTCCCCTGATCCTTGGGGTACTGGAAGGAGCTGGTTCTCCTGTGACATTCTCAGAGAGGTGGCATGACTTGCCCAGTGTCACACAATGGGGTCTACCACAAGAAGCTCAAGCTCTTGGGATTTGATCAGTGTCAGTGACAAGGGAGACTCCTCACCAGCCCCAGAAATCAGACCTACTCAGGGGCTTTGCAGGCCAACAGTGAAACTGGACTTGGATAGTTTTCAATGGCTCAGGCTCCTTTGGTTTTATGCTTCATATAGGTCATTTGGCTTCCAAGACCATCACCAAGAAGATCAGAGCCTTTCCAAGGGGCCTGTGGTGTTTCAAGGAAGCCCCAGGATCCTGCCGACGTGTTTAGCGGACAGCATGGGCAGGTTAGGCACAGCCACGGCCAGGCCAGCAGGTCAGGCACGGCTGGAGGCAGTCGGGCAGCTGATGAACGAACTCACCTGGCTGGTGGCGCATGCAGCACAGGATGGACCGGGCCTTGATGCCGAAGGCTTTCTCCCCCTCCTGCAGGCCCTGGTTGACGAGATTCACCACCTCATCGGGGGTGACGTCCCCTCTGTAGGGACAGGAGAAGGCGTGACACTGAGCAAAGGGAGGACTGAGCTCAGGCCACTCCCAGGTGGGCCGAAATCTGGCTCTACAGAGGAGTGAGGGGTTTGGTGCTATTATGTCCAGATCTGTGGGGCTCTAGGAAGTGTAGCAGGATGGGCCAGATTCTCCTGCTGCAGGGTTGAGCAGGATGCTTAGAAGTTGCTGCCTAAGGAGTTCATGTTCCCAGGCAGCAGGCCTGTGTCCAGAGCTCTGGGCTATGGAGCACAGCCACATGCCTTTGCCCAGAGTGAAAACAAGGTGAGGGCTGGGAGCCATACTCCTGTGACTGAATTACACCAATTTGGGGGGCCATGGACCAGCGTCTCTGGTCTCAGGGCTGCACCATGCAGCCACACCCTCAGCACATCCCTCTCCAGGGTGCCACTCAACTCAGCCTGGTTCCAGGGAATCGGCTCCACTTTGCAGTTGGCCAGCAGGTGTGGACTATAGCGCACCTCCACATACACCACACCCTCCTTGGCCTTCATCTCTACAAACTCATATGCGATCCTTTTGATGGCCTCCCTGTTGCCCCTGGAAAGGGAAGAAAGTGGGTGGGGATGGTTTTCTCTAAGACCCTTGGGAGCTCTTGGAGCAAATGAGGCTACCTCAACCCTTAGCAGATCAAACCCCTTTCTGACTGGCATGGAAAGAAAGAAATGGACACAGATAGGTAAATCCAATGGGACTAGGCTGAAGGAACCTAGGACTCACAGACCTATCTGTCACATGCCAGTCACCCTCTCTGACACCCACCTCAAAGGGTGGACAAACGAGCTAAAAAATGGCCAGTGTTTGGAGCATAGCAGACAAAAGCTAAAAGTATTTTCATTGCTATCACTGAGGGTTGGCCACAGAGGTGTGGTACCAGTGGATCTGCCAGGTGCTCGTGGGCTCTGCCTAGCTGGAAGTTTCCGCCACAAGCAGTGGAAACAGAACATTGAGTAGAATGCGAGGGGAGACAGGCAAGTGTTCCATGAGCCCTGGGTGCAAGAACATGCCCCCCCGCCCCACACACCAGAAGGGCTGTTACTGGAAATGCCTCGGTCTCTGGGATCAGGCTGGAGGGTGCTGCCTTCCTAGGGATGGGCCAGCCCCAGAGCCTGGGCTGAGTCCCATCCCAGGAAGTACTTCTGCATCTCCTTCACACCCAGCTGCCCTCGTCTGTCCCCTCAGCTGTGGATTCCTGCATTCCCCAAGGGGGTCCTGAGCCCTACAGTGGGCAGGATCAGCCTACCCCCTAGCAAGAGAGCTAGGCAGGCAAGGACTGGAGATGGACAGTAGGCCAGATGTGACAAGTTCTACAGACAGTGGGGGCAGCTGCAGTGTTTGAGAACATGGTCAGAGAAGGCTTTGCTGAAAAAGGGACCTTGTTTAGAGCTGTGAGGAATCAGCATTAGGCAGAGGGGTGTGCAGCGGGGTGCTGTAAGGGTGAGGGCCAGGAGAGGAGGGCCTAGAGTGCCTGTGCACATGACATCAGGGCATCAGAGCCCTTGAGTTTTCTCTGAGAGATCCAGGGAAACACTTGAGAGTTGGGGGCAGTCATTGAGACTTCACTCCAGCTCCCCTCCATGCCCACTTCTGGGCCTTCCCAGTACCTACCAGTGCTCCCCACCATGGACTTACCATAGGGAGGAAAGAGCCTTGTACCTTCTCCTTCTCCCCACCCCCAGAATTCAGTCTCCTCACCTCACAGCATGAAACCCTGCACTGGGGTGCAGGAGACTCACCTGAGTCCATGCTCTGCTCTGCCTCTCTTTGTCCTCTCTGGACCTCAGCTTACCCAGGCCAAAGGGCTCTTTATCTGACCTATGTGTGTAATGGTGGCCTGGGAGAGTCAGATTCTCAGACTCTCTCTCTCTCT